TATCTTTTTTTTTTTTTTTTTAACCTTATATTTTATCTCTTACAAGTTTTGGTCAAGACCACCATGTCCAAATTCAAGGCATGGTCCATGACCCGTAATTCTAAAGTTTTGAACAATAATTTAAATTTACTGTTTATTTTAGAGGAAAAATTGTTTCTCTTAAAAAACAACTTGACAGTATGTAATGATAGGGTAAATCTATTTGTACCACGTTTTTGTGCAATAGTAAAGAAACAAAATAAGAACGTAGTACGTATTCAGACAGGTCACATTATGAGATTTTGCTCTATATAAATAAATAATGCAGATGAGAATAAGTCATATCCAAATTCATTGAAACACACACTTTAGAGAGACATATGGGGAGTTCGCAGCAACAGAAACAGCAAGAGCAAGTGAGTGGTGGAAATAACATCCATCGGATCGAAGCCATTCCAGAGACACCACCAGCCGGCGGACAATACAATCAGATTCATGAGAAACAGGTTCATGTTTTGCTTTTCTTATTTTCAGCTTCACAATTTATATTTTTTCTAACGGTTTTTGTATTTGCATTCAGAAGCCTGAATGGAGAAATTTTTTGTCATATGTTGGCCCGGGTTTCTTGGTCTCATTGGCATATCTTGATCCCGGAAATTGTAAGTCGCCGAGTATCTATAAGGCATGCTCGTTGTACAGTACTAAATATTAATGTATGCATTCGACAACATCTTTATTTTTTGTTTGTCAATAGATTGATCTATATTTTATGATGCCATATTGCAGTGGAAACTGATTTGCAAGCTGGTGCAAACCATGGATATGAAGTAACTAATTGAATCTCCTCCTCCTCTCTCTCTCTCTCTCTCTCTCTCTCTCTCTCTCTCTCTCTCTGTATTCTTTACTAGTAGTAATATTTAATTATTTGCAATAATCAGCTACTTTGGGTGATACTTATCGGATTAATCTTCGCTCTAGTTATACAATCGCTTGCAGCTAATCTTGGCGTAAGCACGGGTAATGATGGCAAAAACCTGTACCTAAATTCTTGAGTTACATAATTACGAATTAATGGTCATTTTAAAGTTTTTAATATTAATTAACGGGGTTTGGTTTTTTTGCTTAATTTGCAGGCAAACACCTCTCAGAACTGTGCAAGGCTGAGTACCCCCGATATGTCCGATACTGCTTATGGATACTAGCTGAGATTGCTGTCATAGCAGCTGACATTCCTGAAGGTACTATCCCGTACCCCCAAACATGCATTTTTTCATATAAGACGATTGTTTCTTGTAGCGTAAGTCAATGCACGGGTGTACAAACATATATGAGGATTTTTTCTTGTATTATAAGCCGATAAATGAATTTCCTTTGAGCTAGTATAGTCTCGACTAACTAAAGAATTTTAACAGTGATTGGGACGGCATTTGCACTAAACATATTGTTCCACATCCCTGTTTGGGTTGGAGTTCTTTGTACTGGTTTGAGTACTCTCCTACTACTTGGCCTCCAGAGATACGGTGTAAGTCAATCTTTATTTTTTCCTTAAAAAAATCTTAATAAATAATAAATTGATTTTATTAAATCTATGATGTCATAATAATAAGACCACTTGAATACAACATGAGAACAATGCATTAAAATTTATTTATCGACAACTAAAGATTTACAAAGGTATATACTTTGAAGATATCATACAGGATTATATTATATCAACGAAAGTTTCAAACATGGTATGCGAAGAGCGGTTAGAAAATTGGTTTTAATTAGTTGGGTTAACCAACTTTTGAACAATTATTTTAGTGGATCCCGTTAATTGGAAAAAAGATTTCTTTGGCTGAGTATGTTCTAGTACTCCATGAGTTGATTAATGTAATGTATTTATTTTCTCAAAACCAATTTAGGGTGGAGGAAAAATTAAGACCAAAAGATGATCATTTGAAGTTCAAATAAATTTGGTGGGAAATTTAAAAAATGACAATCCCACATAGGAAAATTAAAAATAAATTCCACTTTATATTGCTCAAGTTGGGACTTGGGTTTGGACCCCAAGGAATACCAATAATTTTTGAGGGCGAGATAACCTACATGTTAGTAGGTTAAGCCAAGACCCACATGTGAGCGTCGTTGTCCGGCTCGGCACAGACATGGATCTTGGATTGGGGCCAAGTTGGTATAGTAGGTTGAACCAAAGTCCACACACACGTCGACGTCTGACCGGCTTGGCACATCACGGTAGAGGTGTCAATCCGAGTGGTCCGGGTCGGGTCGGCCCGCCAACATATAAGTCCGGTAACAGCCCGCGTGAAAAAAGCTCGCCCGCTACGGGTTACAGGCATATTCCGGGTCAGCCCACAAATTTTGGACTACAACCCGTCCCGCACGCTGACCCATCCGGTCAAGCTCATGTGGGCCACGGGCCGCGGTTTGTTCCGTTTTGATCCGTATTATTGTATAAATAAAATTATAAAAATATAGAATTTTTCATATTTATAGTAAATGATCCCTTGTTGTCAGATTTTCAGCCTTCTTTTTAATGATAGAGTTCTCAGATTTTCA